CTCTGGAATATTAACTAAATTGTTGTTCAAATAGAGAAAACAACTGTGATTGTATTTCACCATGACTACAATCATTCATTATGGAAAGCCCCACGCCGTCATTTACTGAGAGCCACAGTGACTATATCTCCTTCCTGATCTGTGTGGGCGCTATCAGTCAGACCCTAAACTGACCTTTCATGCTCCCACATTCAGAATGTATCAGGCGCCAACTGACGGTCCATTCAGAGAACAAACAAGCAGAGTTCAACAAAATCACCTGACAGGAACTCTCCCCCTGAATAATGAATATGAATGACTTTAGGTAATGGGAGAAAACGAAAAGAAAATGGAAGACTTTTAGAGACTTAATTCAGCCAAATGGTCAGAAGATTTGAGCAAACAGGCTATAAATCAGAAATATTCAAATGCATACAATTTAAAAAAAACTGAAACTAATAATGATTACATATCTGTAACAGCTGTTATTTTATCATTTTGGTATCAAATCAAGTTTTTTTGTATTATTGTCAATATAATACCTAATAAACATTAAATATGTTACATTAAAGGGGCCTTATTATGCTTATTGGGAGTCCCACCCAAAAAACAACCTATAAAACAAATGTTTTTGTTGGTCGACACATTTCAGTTTGTATTTGAAAGGTTTCTGGGTTTTCCTCTGCTTTAATGTCGGTGCTTTATTAAATGTATTTTCAACCCTTAGGCTCTTGTATCTACATTTATTCAGTGTCATCACGGCTTCTCTTTTAGATTATAGGATTAGGACTGACTGTGAAAATAGCTTTTCTAGTGAAATCCTCCAGTGTTTCAGCTGAGATTATGAAGAACAGACTTTAAAGGTTCCTTGTTGCTTAGGGCTCCGTATCATTTCTCTATCTCCCTCTCTTACCTCATCTTTTAAGTGGAAATATGTGGCATGCTGTGCTGGATGGATACAAGCACGCTGCTCAGAGTAAATCTATTTTCAAAAGAGAGAGACACCCAGCCCTATTATAAGGAAAACATTGTTTTTAAACTCTATCTCTTGCTCCCCGCGTCTTCAAATGCATTTTCTTTGATTGCTTTTGCTCTTTACCCTCTAGATGTCAAAGAAATGTATAACTGTAATTATGTTTCCTTGTTGTGTCTGCAGCGTCAACAGAGTTGTCTCCTTCTGCCTGCTGCACAGACACTCGTGAACGTTGTTGTTTTGCCAGCAGCCTCCTGTCTGCAGTGCACTGTGTGTTGCATTGTGGGAAGGCTACCTGACTGCTCTTTTTCAAATGCAGCAGACTGCCGCGTTTGTGACGAGTCTGGCTGCAGTCAAGCCTTTTTTATTTTCGTGGGAGTCTGCCCCTCCTGCGGAGATCTCCTGAGGTTTTCAGAGGTCTGGTCTGGGCTGACTGGAGCGTTTATGCACCTTGTGTTTCCTCCATTTCTCCCCTCTGGCTCGTTAAAGTCTAAATTCCACCGACAGCTTTGAAGTGAATGTGTTTGTGTGTTTTTTTCTTTTTATTATACTTGGAGATATTTGCACTTGTTGCGCCTGCAAAGCAGATGTTTTGAAGGAGCAGTGCTTTGCTACGGAGATTACATTCATTGTGTACACTTCTTTTTGATTAACACTATATGCAGAGAATGTGTGAGCTGAGGCTGCTGCTCTCTTTGTGTCCAGTCCCTAAAATTCTCCAGTAGTCGGGTGTGATACGATCCTATGGCCTGCTGCTCTTCACAGCCCCTGGGACGAGAGGAGGACAAAGACTGATACATTGACTGTAGTCTGCAATCATCTTGTCAAAGCAAAATGAAAAAGGAGTACTGCTGCCTTTAATCCGCTTGTTGAGCCCTACAGTAACATTTTCTCCTCTGCTTTTCAAAACTCCATTGAAGTGGTATACCTGCTCTGAGAGTTCCCAACCAGGTGTTTATCCCCCCCCCC